TCCATATTCATCTCTATATATACCACTTTCTACGCATCCACATTGATCTACATATCCAATTCTATCTCTACATATCCACACACATTCCTATCTACATTCTATGTCAATCCACTATTATCTCTACGCATTCAAATGTATATCTATATATTCGGATTTATCCATATACATCCACATACGCTGATACGCTTCTATCCTCAGTTATATTTGTAGATATTCTAATATACTTCACGTGTTTAAATTTATCCATCTTATTTATTTTTACATCGTTATTTTCATTGTTATTTCTTTGTGATATGTTTCTTATCATATTATAAAACTACGCTCTCTAAAAGGCACCATACGCATTCACAATCACCATTTGCCAGGAGTGGAAGAAATGTTTTCTTTTCTGAAAACCTGTATCATCATGTCATCAGGTTTTTTCCTTCATTTCATAACTGGCTCAAAAAATATTAAAACGTTGGGAACGGACGAAGTGCCTTCACAATATTGCGGACGAAATTTCGCGGACGTCATGACCACGTATTTTCGTTGTCATTTTTGAGGACTATTTCACGTCAGTCATACGAAACAATCGCACGATCAAATCTCAGGGTTAAAACAAATCGCACGATCAAATCTCAGAGTGACTCATACTTATGCATTCGCTAGCCCTCATTCACTAGGCCATACGTACGTGCTTTCTTACCCGCAGGAAATGATGGATTTAAAACAGCGATCTCTCGTTGCTCAGGGAGTAGCCGCGTTCCAAGCTGCTGTGGCTGCTAAGAAAGAGGTACCCGTACCCAGACCCTCGCAATCTCCGACCAAGATCATTCAAGGTGAACGATATGGAGAACATTCGTCACCAGACCTCATGGAGGCGTACATCAACCGTGACGTGGTAAGTTCAAGCTGGTCGCTTAACCTCAAACCAAGGACAGATTTGGTGCAGTGATTAGCGCGTTTACACATGTGAGACGGCGATGTCAGAACGATGGTTATCAATGCAATGACATTAATCCTATAGCACAAAAGAAATTAATAACTAAAAGTCTAGCATGGGTTTTAGACACCGCGTAGTCCAAGCTCTGTTGACAACGGCAAAATGTATATTTTCACGTCTCGTATAGCACGCTAGCATTTCAAGCGCGTGGCAGGTAGTTTTCTGGCAGAGTTGATCAAAATTGCTCTGAAGTTTTAAGCTCTGTTTTGCTCGTTTGAAACTGTATTACATTCATATGAAAGTAAATAGAAGACAAAGCTTCCACACAATCGTTTATTTCAAACAGTTTGTTTAGCTGTCGTTCTGCTGTCTCCTTTTTGCACGCGTAAACTCCATAATGTTTGGGGGGGGGGGTTAGGAGAAGTGCAGCGATTTGCTGGCAGGCATATTCCGATAAGACAAAAGTTTAGGTTCCCTATTGTGGTCCTACAATGCATATCACAATAAGGAAGCTATTTTGGGACGTAAACAAGGCAAGGAGTCCATAGTAATCCAATCTTTTACTGCTTTTCTTCACAATCAGCACATCTTAAATCACTGCATTGATGACATCGAGGAATTGGTATACCGAGTCAAACAAGTCGCTGAATCATGGAAACAACTCGAAACTAAGTACAAAGGCAAGAAATCCAAAAGCCGAAAGCAAGAAGGTTCGTAATGCGATGAGCACTGTAAAAATAATACATTTTGTGCCATTTTCCTAGTACCTAATTTTAAGTTTTTGTTTAGCTGAGGCAATCGAAGCCCGTTCACCTTCACGAGAAGAATTTATCGACGCTTTTCAAAAGTGTAAATACTCCTTCATTATTTTGGTAAGTCTTCGTGTAGTTGCTAACTTTATTTATACTGAATAACTCTATCAGTTCTAAATTGTTAGGAAGAACAGTTTAGAACTGTTGGAGTTATTCAGTATAAATTAAGTTAGTTTAGTTTAGATTTCCTCCTGTAGTAACACTGGATCAATAAGAGATGATCCTTACTGGACCTCTTGGAACAACAATTTAGAACTGATAGAGTTATTCAGTATAAATTAAGTTAGTTTAGTTTAGATTTCCTCCTGTACTAACACTGGATCAATAAGAGATGATCCTTACTGGACCTCTAGGGAGAACAGTTTAGAACTGATAGAGCTATCCAGTATAAATGAAGTTAGTTTAGTTTAGGTTTCCTCCTGTAGTAACACTGGATCAATAAGAGATTATCCTTACTGGACCTCTAGGAAGAACAGTTTAGAACTGATAGAGCTATACAGTATAACTAAAGTTGGGTTTGTTTAGATTTCCTTTGTATTTTTCTAATAAAGAACTTTTCTGTTTTATCTGGTTCATTCGTAGTTCCTAACCAAACACCCGGACAAGAGACTCGGCTCAAAGTCTGAAAACGACATCAAGGATCACGTGTTCTTCCGCTATATAGACTGGGAAAAGCTGCAGAACAGAGAAATTCAACCACCGTTTAAACCAAAAATTGTGAGTTTTCAATTCAAACTTAATAAACTAATCATGCCAGGGGTCGGTTGTACCAGATACGAAGACCAGATATCCACCACATAGTGATTTTCTCAACTTTTGTCAACAGGATGTGTTTGCACTGCTTGTTCCCAGCTCATTGACAAGTTGTGAGACTTTTTACATGTATAATTTATCAATACTTGAGTTTAATCTGGTTTTCACCCCCTCTAGTGATTAAGTACTTCGTCAACGGTCGCACTCTGAACGATAACCAAAGCTTGATGAGCACACATCCCAAAGAGATCTGGCTAGATTTATTCCCTATTAAGATTCAGGTTGGGTTCGCTATTAGAGACCTTACGATTTAGGACAGCAACGGCTACCAATACAATAAATCATTGAAAAGAATTGCATAATTACGATATATGAATAATTTAGTCATTGTCCTCGCTCTGTTTACAGCGCCAAATCACAGGTTTTGACGTCTTGATACAATGGCTGCATTCCAAGCCACAACAAGTGCAACTTCAAACTGGGTTCAGCAGAACTCTTCCCAACCATAAAACCCATGTCTTCAACTTCTAAGACTGTATTAAATTCACACGATTGATAATATACGACGAATTATCTTTACTACCATTTATTTGAAGGAGTTTGTTTTGGCCGTCGTTGTCGCGTTGCCGTCCTAAAATCGTAGCCTTAACAGTAGACAACATCGGAAAGGGGTTCATATTAACTTACAAAACATTATAACTGTTTAATTTTTTCTGTAGAAATCAAAGCGTTCGTTCGACAATTTCGACGCTGAATTCACAGATGAAGCAGCCAGGCTGACGCCCTGTGACAAATCGTTCATTGCCAATATTAATCAAGCAGAATTCGCTGGTTTCTCCTTTGTAAATCCCCAGTTCCCGGTCAATTAACGCACAGTATTTTGGTATTATAGGTAACGATCGCTAGGCTAAATTATAAAATTGTTTAAATTAATCCCAATGCACAGAGGAGGAGAGGAGAGTCTGGAACGAGTCTATACGTGTTTGATGTCAGGAATTTGTTGTCGTTTAGTTTAGGCCTGTTTCAAACGTAGCATTTTAGGCTTAAAACATTGTTACGACATTCTTTAATTTCGGAGTACCATAAGATAATTTTGCAGTTGTTTGTAATAGATTCATCACAGCATAGCTGTCATACTTTCCTCTAAAAGACTGTCTTGGGTATACTCTTTAACTTTTGCCTATTCCAGGCTTAATATTCTTATAAACGAGATTCTTAATATGTCTTAATGTCCCAAGCTTTACGTCATTCCACGCAACGACCATGTAAAATTCTCGACGTTTGAAACGGGCGAATTGTATTCGACAAATGCAAAATGCGACGTTTGAACAAGGCCTATAGCCTGTTTTATACGTCGAACTTCGGTCGTGTCGAATGCAATTCAAACAATAGATAATGAAGCTTAATGAGGTTTATCATCTCATTATCTATTGTCTTAATTGCATTCGACGCGACCAAAATTCGGCGTATAAAACGAGCCTAAGTCAAAGATGGGGTGGTGGTCAATCATCGTCCTTGCATTCCTGATATCAAACGCGCAATGATAACGAGATACCTGGTGTATGTTTTGAAAAATGGTGCATCCTATTTACCAGTAAAAATTATTGCACAAATTAGGGGTTGGAAAATATCAAAATATTGTAAATACATTTGGTTATTAGTTAATTACTTGCCATAACAATTAACAGTGTCGTACAGTACGATCTAGTGATGGGAGTATTTTTTTTTTCATTGCTTTGAAATTCCTCACTGTTTATACAAGCCATTCAGTCATTGTTTTGACATATTATTTTCGAATTAACCAACAATACAAAGACGTCTCTAGTAAATGTTTAATCATTTTTTCCCAAGTTTTTCCTCCTTACTTTTAAACACTTGATCCCAGTCTCCTTATCAACTTTGGAATGGCCACAGTGGCAAGGTCAGGCCCAACCCGTATCCAGAGCCTGCCCGTTCGCATGTTAGGGTGCCCACCTCTAACCTGCAAACAGGCGTGCTCTTGGGTACAAAATTGGACCAGACCTAGCTGTCTAGTGTAAACATGGCTGATCTAAGACTAAAAGGAAGAGGTTATTTCGCTGGTCTCAGAGTGACAAAACGTAACAAAGCAACGGTTTTACTAACACTAACCCTATTCCAAACACCAACTCTAACCCTAACCTAACCCTACTCCAAATTTGTTTCTAAACCAATCTTGAAGAAAAACGTTTTGACGAAATGTCATTCTGGGGTCAGCGAAATAACTTCTTCCAGACTAAAACAGCCGTGATTCTTAAAGAAAATGTTCATATTCTTCAACAGCTGGTAAGTTTTGCAGGTTAGGTGCAGGTATTGCTGGTTAGTTTTGCTGTTAGAATTCTTCTGCTCTTATATGAATGACGAAAATTAAACTATTATGTAAATCAAGAGGATTTTTTATGAGAATGAGATATACAAGCTCCTTTGCAGTCATGATTTCCTTTAGGTATGACTTATTAATGAAATTATTTACAACTAAAAGCTTATTAATATTACAATGTTAATGCCATTTTTTTCTCCGCATCTTTGTCTCTGACGCTGATATGCTTATTTCCTAAAATATAATATCTATACATCTTCTGTGCAGCCTCCTGTCCGTATGAGTCAATTCCAATCCTAGTTGTATGTACAACAGAAAATTCCTCAGACCCTTTCAAACTGGTATTTTCAATCCAAAACAGGTTTGACAGGACCATATCGGTATTGTTAAGTTTGTCCTTAGTAATGTCCAAAGCTGTGCATAGTTTTGATGGGCCATTTGAAAGTTCATGGTCTTTCAATCGTTTCGAAGTTTCCTTGCGCTTTGCACTCCGAAGCTGTCTCATTTCGTTAAGGCCTAAAGTTAAATGCATAAAAATAGGTATTAATTTAACCCATTACGTTTTATTGTGCCCTAATGCACACCACTGTATTATTTTACCCTGTCTATTGCCAGATGATTTTTCTCATCAAGGCCAGAGAGAGCTAGCACTCAATGAGCTAATCAAACTATCTGCCCATGTGTGTAGTTAACCCAGTCAATTGTATTGCACCCCAATGTGCCCTACTTTATTATTTTATTCTGTCTAATGCCAGATGATTTTACTCCTCTTGTGTGCAGAGGAACAAGGGGGAATTTCGTTCTCGACCAATCAGCGCTTTTGTTTACATTTTTGCCCTAAGCCAATCAGAATGCGTAAAACGCTTCATCACATGAAATTTGTAAACAAACATATGGGGTTACTTCAGAGCTTTTCTGCAAGCGGTTTTTTGTTTTTTGCCATGAAATTCATATATGTTGTTCTTAAAAGAATTCTCCTCAACTTCCTCGTGGCGATTTTTGATTAATTGCGTGATTGCGAAGATATGGGTCTTCAAACTTTGCGTTGCGCAGGCTTAAATACCACCCCTCGAATTTGTAGGTTCCGAACGGATTAGCGTTTTTAAAAGCCTTTCAAATCGAGGTTTGAGAGGTTTTATTTTTTAAAAGATACTTTTATCTTCATATTTTCACATTAACTTATTAATATCCTGTGTAACAAGTAAACAGGGCATTTCCGGGCCGGACAAGTTGACATGTCGATTTCTTGCCAAACAGCGTGGCGATCAATATGGCGAATATCTAAATACAGGGAATTTTTAAAATTTTGTTGGTATAAATGGGATAAAGAAGCTCATCAAATATTTGGACTATGGACCTTCAAACTTATGCCAAGTATTTATTTGATTGATTAGCTCAATAACTGTTTTTGGCTCGTTTTTCGTCGATTTCGACATTTAGTCGAGCTTAGTCGACTTCAAAATAATGTGTCAACATTGCGTGTTGCAGCCTGTGGATATGAATATTTTCGTTTGTTTGACCATAACACTTTTCTTCACTGTTTTTAATCCTTGAATGACAATATATTCATTGGTCTCAGAGTCCTAAACTTAAGGAAGATGGATGACTTTGGGACAGATATCAAAATTTTGTTCAGATATCAAAATTTATGGACATATATAGTCACAGAGCATAGTCATAGGACCCTCATTGTTTCTTCCTTAATCTGGCCCACTAGTCACAAATGGGGCCTGTTCTTATGACCTGGCTAGGCAGGAGACAACATTTGCCAGTATTGCCGATATACTATCCTGCTACTATCCTGGCTAAGCACAAGGTATCTGTTGCCAGAATCCCAACTATACAAGCCAAGAAATTCACCATTTACAGTAAACATTCTATCCCACAACAAGGCAACATGAACTTGCCTTTAGGGTCCCATGCTGCCTAGCCCAGATCATATCAACAGACCCTTAGCAGATCCTGAAACTACAATTGGAACATTTTAGGCCATAATCTTGTAGAATCAACCAGGTATTGTCAGTAGTATAATATCACACTGGGCAAGCTGGTCTTGCCCATTTATATGGGCTAAATATACACCTGCCCATGGTAAGATACTGCCTCGTATATTAATTTTATATATGTTTGAGATTGCCTTCACATGAAACAGCCTGATTGAATTTATTGGCCCAGCATTTGCTTGAGCAAGTTGATATCCTGCATTGGGAGTCTCACACTAATAAAGGTCATAAGCTGGCCAACCAGCTCACTCGACTAAAAATCATGTTATAATACACAATTTGGCCCAAGTAAGTAAG